AAATTATAGCAAATTATACATTAATAAAAATATTAAACTAAATATATAAGTGAAATAATGTGCAATATCAAACCAAAGTAAATTATAGTTAAATATAACTAAAGTCCATGTTCGTGTCCATTTCAACTAGACACGAAACTGTGATAGTTCTTACCTTCGTTTTTGCAAAAGCATCATCTCTCTTTTCTTATTTTCATTCTTAGTATCCTGAAGTTGAGAAGAACATTACTAAATATTATTTCCAGCAGCTAAGCAATCAATTTAGAAAGAGATAAAAATAAAAATAAAGATTGCATCAAAAAATTCATCCAATACTAAAGAATATACAGAAATTCAAAATCCCATAAAATATCATGAAAATATTAGAAGTTAATTGATTTCAGGAAAATTAACCTTTCTGAAACATAAGTAAAAATAGAGTATGTTAGAATGTTACCTTTAGCTCTTTTCTCGTAACTGGATCATGATGCAATATAGGCTTTCTAATTCTTCCTACCACGCTTCGGATGAAAAAGAGAATTAAGCATGATACAATCATTATTACTTATCATCAATCATGAGAGGATGTTTAAACTATATCATCTGTGAAATACCTCTACCATCACTACATGTGTGATATGTGCTTTCTATATCAAATGTGGCCTGTCAGTATCCATTTCAAGAATCTGAACAGAAACAAGGATCCAAGGCAGATTAGTTAGTTTTCTAAAGAGTGGAGATATGACCACATGCTCCATTTCTTATATTTACCAATCTCTATAGGTGAAAGTTCAACTATAATCTCACAAGTGACACATGTAACACCCCGACTTATCAGAGTAAATTTTTTTCGCAACTTATTTCAAAAATACTTACAAATTTTTGAAGTTCTTCTTAACTCGAGATGCTACTAAACTTATCTACTTTAAAATCTGTGTTCGTTAAACTTAATCTAATAACTAAAATAAACAGATTTTAAATATTGAACATATATAAAAACCTTACCCGTTCTTAATTACAAACCAGTAATTTATTCAAATCACAAATATAATCACACACGTTCAAACTTTTAAAAAAAACATAGCGGAATATCTTACAAGCATAGTTTTCAAACCGAAACCTTATTAAAATCCACACGAGAAACTTAATCAATCCACGACCACCACAGCTCCTCACACCTCCGCACCATCTTTGTTTCCTGAAAATGATAATAATGGGGCGTGAGTACTACTCAACTGTACTCCGCAAAAACGCATACTAAAGTAAACATTAATAATAATATCAATATCATAATCATAGGTATATATATATATATATTCTACTTTTTCGGACACTTAAACCCGGTAACTTTATACTTTTAACTT